GCTCTCATGATGCTGCTTTAACCACCAGACCGCACTGGCTTCCTCGATAGAGTCTCACTTTCCGGCCCTCCCCTCCTGTAAGGTGAGGGGGCAGGTCACAGTCCCTACCTGGGTTCTGCATTGGCCAGGAGTGCCCCGATCCTCCTGCTGTCCCCAGGGTTTCCAGTAATCGCAAAAGAACTAAGGCAACCCTCCAGCTCCCAGTGCCTTTCGTTAACCCTTTTAGGCAAGGGCACGACTTCCCTTCGCACCCCACAGACAATAATCCGGGTCTTTGGGTAACAGAGACCATCCTCTCACTACAAGATGCCTGAGGACAAGGGACCGAAATCAGCCCTGGCGTGAGCAGGCATAGAACCAGGACTAAAATTGGCCTGAGGAGTTAAAACTATTCCCTAAAATGCTGATGGAGTGAGAGAAAGAATGTGAGACCAGCCGTTCTGGAGAAGACGAATGGTCCGTCCATCAGTCCCAGCCCGGACACAGGCCAATAGTGCAGCATCGCTCTCCCCAAAGCCTTCCTGTATGGGGTCTTCCTGACTGGTCATCACGTCCCACCTCAGCCTGCTCCGAATGAAGATGTGAACTCAACATCTCTTTGCAGGGAGAGCGCGGAGATCGGATCCCCTGACGCTGCTTCTTTGTATCCACCCAGCGGGAGACAAAGGGGTCTTGGTAAGCGCTTTGATTCACAGCAGCTAATGCAATGTAGGGAGGAGGTAAATCTGATCCTTCAGTGGTCCCTGTATGGCATGGCCTGACGGGAGAAACTTGCCCCAAAATCAATCCTCAGAAAAGGCACAGAGGCCTCCTTTGCCAGGGATAATCCCTGGTGGTTGATACGCCTCCTTCTGGCCCCCTTGTGTCAGCCTGGCTGGTGTAAAGGAGCTTCAGGGCAATGGTGAACCAGACCCCCAATGAACAGGCAAGTCAGTGCAATGGAGTCCAAAGTAACATAGAACTACGAAGGGCAGGGTAATAGCTGATCTTCCCATTGACTTCAGCAGGAGTTGCACCTGAGTGATGACTGAGTAAGGACTTCAGGATTTGGCCCAATATGCACAGTAGTCACTTAGCCAACCACTAAAATGCAGTCACCTCTGGGATGGAACATGGCACTGGGATGGAACAATAACACTTTAGGATAAGGAGTGAAGGAGAAGGTGGGCGGATTTTAGACGGTGGAATGTAATTATGCGACCCGGAATCTGGCAGCGTTAACACCTGGTCTTGCCTGAAGTGCCATGAGACCTTGAATGACCACAAGTGCTCAGGGTTTCAATTTTATGTCTCACCCAAAAGACAGCTGGGTTGAGGTCAGCTCGTGGGAGGGTCTGTGTGCAAGTCAGAACTGCAGGGTTTCTGGGAGGTTCAGATCCGGAGCGTCTCTGAGGGAGCTGGGGAAGGTAGTCATCCAGTGGCTGGGGATTTACAGTGACTAACACAAAACAGGTGTTTGAGGTGAAGAAGGGAGTGGTGTGGGCTAGTGTAGAGGTTCTCAACCTCTTTCTTTCTGAGGCCCCCCCCAATATGCTACAAAAACTCCACAGCCCACTTGTACCACAATAACTGTTTTTCTGTATATAAAAGCCAGTGCCAGTGTTAGGAGGCAGCAAGCAGGGCCATTGACCCGGGTCCCACACCACAGGGGGTCCTGCAAAGCTAAATTGCTCCGGCTTCAGCTTCAGCCCTGGGTGGCGAGGCTCAGGGCCCCAATCTTCAGCCCCATGCAGTGGGGCCTTGGCTTTCTGCCCTGGGCCCCAGCAAGTCTAATGCCTGCCCTGCTTGGTGGACCCCCTGAAACCTGCTTGTGGCCCCCCCAGGGGGTCCCAGACCCCTGGATGAGAACTACTGGGCTAGTGGACTGAGACCAGACCTGGGAGCCAGGAGCTCCTGAATTCTAATCCCTGCTGCTCTTCCACTGACTTACTTAAGGCTTTGGGCAACTCACTCCTCCTTCACCATCTGTAACACGGGAATGATGTGGAGACTGTAACAAACTGGCTACCTGATACGTCAGTGGCACCTCTTCCCAATCCCGGTTGGGATCAGAGCCGTTCAGCTCTATCATAGGCCCCGTGCCACTAACAGAGATTCTCTTTTGCCTCAAGGCCTGTGGTTTTCGAAGGGCAGGAATTGAGTTCTCCCTCTGGTCGTGCCATGAGGTTGTGTGTGGCCACAGTGTGCAACATAGCAACAGATGGGAAATTCGAGGGGGCCCTGAATGTTACAGTGCTGCGTACCACACATGAGTTTGTTAGAATTAATTAATTCGTTCGTTGGCTAAATTCTGCTCGTACTTACTCAGGTGTAAATCTGAAGCAACTATACCTGCAGTTGCTCCAGATTTTCATGAGTATGAATGAGAGCAGAGCTGGCTCCAGACTTTGTCAAGTGTCCAGAAAGATCACATGCGATTTGGCCTAGTGGGTACTGGGGTTCTCCTCCTGGCTCTGACACGCTGTGTGACCTCGAGCAAGGCTCTGACCTCTGTGTCTTCTCCCACCCTTTGTCTTTCCTTTCGATTTAGATTGTAATCTCTTTGGGGCCAGGGTTGTCTCTCTGGGTTTCTAAAGCATACAGCACAATGGGGCCCTGATCTTGGTTGGAGACTTTATGGTAATGCAAATAATAACCATGAATTGCTTGCTAGCTCCTGCAGGTCCATGCATTGATTTAAACTGGATTAACCCATGAACTATCCTGGTACAGACGTTCTCTGTCCCACCCTGTCTTAGAGAGAGGAAGCTTCCAATTTAGCATCAAGTTGCCTCCTTGCCTGTCCGCCCTTACCCATCTCCTACCCTCCAACGCCCCTAATGTTACCATCCCAAATGTTTAAAGAGAGTTTATAAAAACAGGAGCCCTTTGTTGTCAGAAGGGCAGCTCGCAACCTAAAGCCATCTGAAGTGAAAATCAATCCAAGCTTTGGGAGCTGGGGTGTGTGGATTGGCTCTGGGATCCAGCTAAGGTGCAGGGCCTCCTTTGCCTGCAAAGCTGATGGGCCAGGGGATCAGCCTGACTTCACAAGAACAAAGAGCAGCTTTAGGGGGCTTTATCTGCCAAGCTCCCCTTGTGGAGCTTTGGAAAACTTGTCTGGATTTAAAGAAACGTGTAGTTTTTGAAGAGGGAGGTCCTGTAGTGGAGCAGTGCAGGCTGTTCTCTATGTCTGCGTGTCTGTATACGTTTACACATGTCTGGACGGGTGGGCATGTACATCTGCACATGTGTGCACACACATGTAGGTTTGTGGGTACAGTATATGTTTACTGGTGTTTGTACATGCAAATCTGACTGTGCAAGTGGGTTTACATGTGTGTTTATATGCAGGTTTGCTGTGTGTGTGTGTGGCGGGGGGGGGGTTGCATGGGTGTATGTGCAGGTTTGCCTGTATATATGGGTGTGCATGCCCGTGTATCTGCATGCCCGTGTTTGCATGTGTGTAAGTGCATGCAGGTATTTAGCAGCTTCCTCTGTACACATCGCACAGTTTTACATGGGCAGGTTTGACTGCATACACCTGCATATACAAACACACCATATTCTACCTGAATGCTCACGATTTATAGCAGGTTTCCTAACAGCTTGGAGTGGAAACAGAGTGGGTGATCCTAGAGACCAGATTTCTAATTGGCCGCTGTCTCTGAAATGAAAGCTCCCTGCATTCCCACCTTAAACATAATGCCTTCAAATGTGGCTGTTTTCTTCCTTTCCGCAATACAGAGAAATGGAAACTCTCCAGACAACCCCACCACTAAGTGAAACGCAGCACAAAGGGGGACCCTAGCGCAGAGAGTGGGTTTTCCCCCTGCCTAGCCTTGGAATCGGCAGTGAGTCCACTGTGCAGCACTGCAAAATATAATCGGAATCATCCAGCCGCTTCACTACTGCTCCAATGCAGGGAGTTCCTTGTAATCGCTCCTGGAGGTGACAGAAAGGTCATAGTGAGATCTGAAGCTGTAGGCAAAGGGGAAAGAATTATATTCGCCTGGATCATGTTCGTGATTTGTTGCTGGCAATAGCTTTTTGGGCGGGAGGCAGGGAACAGGATGAGGGAGGTCTGGAATCCATTCTTTTTTAAAAGAAGAACGGCAACAACACTGACCGTCTGCCGCACCTGTCCCTTGTAAATCTCACAGGACTTTTACAAACAGAAATGAATCAAGCTTGATGGTGGCTTCCACAAAATGGGGAAACTGAAGCACAGAATGGTTAAGTGCCTCATCAAGTCAGGCAGAGTCCGGAAGAGAACCCAGAAGTCCTGACTCCCAGTTTGGCGATCACTGGGCCATATGGGACCTATTAAGGATGGGGTGGCCATGTGGGACCGGTTACAATAATTCTAAGGGTAAGTGGAACATGGCCTTGGGGCTTATGTTTTGTAGGGTGCCACTCGGATGGGCTAAAGCCTTCTGAGGGGGTTGTGGGGAGGGAGGGAGAGAGAGAAAGCCCCTGTAAGGGGTCATGGGGGAATAGGCCCCCTGTATGTGGAGGTATCCGTCCCTCACCCCACAGATAAAATACTATAATACATGCCATGTGGTGCCACCTGGTGAACTCCTAAGGCAAATATTTGCCCCATCCCCAAGTGTATCCCTTTCCCTCTCCCCCCCCCCCCCAGCTTCATCAGACCTGGCTTGCAGCAGCTGCCCCCTCCCCATTGCCCTCAATACCAGCTCCCTGTGTCTTGAAGGACAGCGGAGTGAAACAAGACCGCCAAGGTGGAATCGGATTGGCTGGATGGTAATAAATATGCAGATCAGCTGGGCCTAGGTACTGTCCCATTGGTGAAAGGCTAATGGTTATGCAGATTAGCTTGGTCTGGCTCTTTCCCTATTTGCTGGAGCTTCACATTTGGAGCTGCCCTCTCGGTTGGAGGCAATTGACTATACGAATTTGGGGGCTGAGCTTTCGGGCCCATTGGTGGCAGGATAATGAATATGCAGATTAGCCTGGTCTGGCTGCCTTCCCATTGGCTGCAGCCTTATTAAGATGCAGATCGCCGGTCTCCCTCTGCGGCTCCCTTGGCGGCGCTGGGGTGAGGGAGGCGGCCGGACCCCGCAGTCTCTCCCCGGCCGGCGGACGGGGCAGCTCTGCTCGGAGCTGGAGGCTCCCGGGCCGATGGCTGGATGGTTATGGGGCCAGGCAGCCTCCCCCCGGCGGCTGTGGAGCGGCTCCGGGGGCCGCGGCGGCGGCCTCTGCTCAGCATGGTGCTGCTGGTGTCCGTGTGCCTGGCCCCGCCGGCCGCAGGTAGCGGGGGAGCCGGGCCGGGGAGCAGGGCTGGATCGGGGCCAGGGGGAGGGGAGCCGAGCCGAGCCGAGCCGGACCGGGGACACTGGGGGGACCCGGGCTGGAGAAGCTGGGGAGCGGGACCGGGGCTGGGGGATGCTGGACCGGGGCAGGTGGGAAGGGGGCCCCGGGCTGGGGATGGTGCGGGGAGCTGGACTGGGGATGCTGGGGGACCCGGCCTGGGGAGGGGGCAGCCAGACCGGGGATGCTGCGGGGCGGTGGGGGGCTGGCTTGGGGATGCTGGGGGGGAGCTGGACTGGGGCAGGTGGAGGGAGGGAAAGCGGGACCCGGGCAGGGGATGCTGGGGGGTAGGGGGAGCTGGACTGGGGATGCTGGGGGACTCGGCCTGGGGAGGGGGCAGCCAGACCGGGGATGCTGCGGGGCGGTGGGGGGCTGGCTTGGGGATGCTGGGGGGGAGCTGGACTGGGGCAGGTGGAGGGAGGGAAAGCAGGACCTGGGCAGGGGAGGCTGGGGTGGGGGTGGGGGGGGGAGCTGGACTGAGGGGAGCTGGATTGGGGGAATGGGGGAGATGGACCAGGGAAGCTGGTTGTGGGGCTGGACTGGAGCAGGTGGAGGAGAGAAAGGGGGAGCCGGACTGGGGATGCTGGAGGGAAGGGGGGAGCTGGACTGGGGCAGCGAGGGGAAGGGGCTGGGTAACTGGAGGGGAGCTGAGCTAGGAAGGAGGGGGTCAGAACTGGAATGGAAACTCAGGGGAGGGGCTGGGGAGAGTCAGCTGACGGGAGCAGCTGGAGATGGGCTGGGGGTGTTCCTGGGAACTGGGGGTGCTCATGCCTTGGGTCAGGGGGTACCCAGGCAGGTGTCTCATTTGAGGGGCTGCAGGGAGCACCCGAACACGTGCCTTGGCTGAGGGGCCCCCATGGGGGAAAGGGAGAGCCCAGAGCACATGCCTGGTGGGAGAGGTGCCTCTTTTGGGGACCCTGCTGTCTGGGAGCTGGGATCTCTTCCGGGCCCCCCTTGGTGGTGGAACATGGTTGGAAGGGGGAGCGCGGTCCCAAAACACATGCCTTATTGGGGGACAGTATGGGGGGGCTTCAGGGTGTGCCTGAGTTGGGGACCCCTCTGTGGGGTGTGCTGAGGAGAAGCCTGGATGCTCAGCTTAGTTGGGGGGCGTGTTGTGGGGGTGGATGAGCCTTTTCTGGGAGGTTTGTTTTTCTATGAGGCGCGAACGTGCAGCTCCTGCCAAAGCAAACAAGGCGGCTGCCTGGAGCACAGAGGCGCCTTTCTGCTGCCGGCGGGCCAGCCAGGGACAGCGGCCCAAGGAGGGCTGGGTCAGCTCCCTCTCCATCCCCTGGGCTGGGGACCCCCTTCCCTGGCAGGGGCTGCACAGCGCTGTCTTCGCCACTGCCTGCTTCTCCGGACCCCAAGGCACTAACCAATAAAACCTCCTGGGGCTTGAAGGTCCAACTGGGAGGCCAGGACTTTCCCAGCCTTCCCTGCTTCTGGGCCCAATTCTGTTGCCCATGGGCGTGTGGGCACTGCCATTCCTGGTGGGCAGAGGAATGATCCGCCTGATAGCTCCTGCTGTCCCAGGGGATTTCTGCTAACTAAACATGAAATACAGCCCAGTAGGTAGAGGGTTTGCACAAGACACTCTTGCACCCTGCGTGAAGACTAATGATGCGGAAAGAGAGCTGGGGCTTCATTTGAGCCCTCCACCCTGCAATGAATTTACCCCACAAAGGGGCTGTGTATGTGTAAGATGTACTAACTTTGTTCTTTACAAAGCATTAAGATGTGGTTTAAACCTAAAGTGAGAGGGGGAAACAGAGGTCATTGTATCTTTGTGGTTCTATCTATGAACTTGTAGTTTTAATAGACGTCAGCTGTTTCACCCGTTGCTGTACCTATGAAAATCCCTAGGCCATTGGAATGAAGCGTCTCTCTTTAGTATTGGCTTTTAAGCAAAAAACAGCACAATATGCTGAGCAGAGTCTTTAAAATACAATTAATTGTGCTTGCGCGAAGCCATCAAAGTGCAAACGAGGCAGACTTAGGTGGGGAATGCAGTGAATGACGCACGTTCGCTCCTAGCAGACTTCGCATGTGGCTCAGAGCCCTTAGGAAGGTGGATAATTATCCCTATTTTACAGATGGAGGCAAAGGTCAAAAATATCAAATGTGCACTAATTTTGGGTGCATCAGTTCTTGGGTGCTCCGAGGAGATGCCTAGGGCCTGACATCTGAGATGCTGAGCACCCAGTGCTGTTACTGAGTTCGTTGGAAGTTATGGGTGCTCAGCATTTCGGAAAGTCAGGCTCCAATTGGGCATCCAAAATGAGTGGGTGATTTTAAAAACTTCAGCCTGAGTGATTCCTTCCCCCCCGAGCAGACAAGATGGTGGCAGAATTGGGAACAGAACTCGGGAATCTGAACTCCCATATTCCATCCACAGTTCTTGATTCTAATTGCCGAGAAGCCTATAGAAAGTAACTTTTCCCTGAGAGTATAGAAAGTATAGCTAAAGAAAGTAACTTTTCTTCTTTTCCCTGAGTTGGAGGGAGAGCTGTTTTGTGCCTTAATGTAAAACTTAGCTAAATCTGTGACAGCAGTGTGTTCACACACGGCTGTGAGATGCTTCCAGGGAGGTGGATATTGTGTGTTTAAGATCTGCAGCTAATCAGTACAGATTTGCATGCTGGGTCTAAAATTGCTGCATTGCTGATATCTGCCTCCAGGGAGGATACTGGATGAATTTAATAACTCACATTTTGTCCTTTAACATTTGAGTGCTGATTCAGGGTAGCAAACAGCGTAGCATTGTGTGTATAAGAACACAACACACACACAGTGCAGTGATATTTCTGAATATATGTAGGAAGAATAACAGTAGTCTAGCCGCCTTGAAGATCGTTACAGGCTTGACGAAATGTGGGTGGATATAAACCAGCCTTTCAAAATTCTGTTCACTTGAGGCGTGGAACTTTATTTTGAATAGCAAGTAAACCCTGATTTATTTTCTTTCTCTTCATAATGGCAAAAGCAAGCAGTCAATCTTGTGACTTGGCTGGTAAATTTCAGTGATAGTTTTGCCACTTTTGTATAGTATGTATATGAAAAGTGAATGCAAGTCATTGCATTGCATTGCCTGATGCTGTCTTATGTATGTTTGTAGTATGTTTTTTGCTCTGTCCCACCTTGGGGGGGGGGGCAGGTTATTTAATAAAAAACATAAGAAAATGCTGGTGACACTTAACTCTTGACTTAGTCCTTGTCTGTCTCAGGAGTACTGTGATGGCTGAGGTTGGTAAAGTGCTTTGGAGATGGCGCGCTGTCTTAAGTGCAAAGCAGTACCGGCGTTGATGGGTCACAAGAGCCGGTAGGCAGCATCTATATCTCCGTAAAGCTGTCATGAAGAGTTTGGCTTCTGTGTTTTCTCTACCTATAGGACTTCTGTTTTAAGCCCCTGGATAGGAGCTTTCATTGCAGTGTCGGGAGGAGGGAAGGATCCGTCTTTATATGACTTGTGCTTAGGGCAGACCTTAGATCTCTAGTTGCTAGTTAGCGGGTGGATCGTTGACACCCATCAGCTGCTTGCTGTTGATCAGAATGACCTTTTCTCCTTGCAGTGCGTTGCCAGCAGTGCCGAATCCAGCGCTGTAATGCAGACTACGTGGCTTCCACATCTCCTAACCATGCCTTGCCAGAGGAGACACCGCTGGACGTGGATTACTGCATTGCCTTGCGGGCGTATTCGGTGTGCACCAGAAAGACAGCCAAATCCTGCCGGGGAGACCTGGTGTATCACTCGGCCGTCTTCCGGATCAAGGAACTCTTTACGCAGTACAACTGCTCCAGCGACGGGCCGACCTCCTCAGCGAACGCCCCTGGCACACCGGACCCTCTGGTTTCAGAGCTCTGCAGCTATGAGAGCAGATCTGGCTTTCAGAAGAAATTTGCCCACTGTGGATTATTTGGGGATCCTCATTTAAGGACCTTTAAAGATGAGTTTCAGACGTGTAAAGTGGAGGGAGCTTGGCCGCTAATAGACAATCAGTACCTGTCAGTCCAGGTCACCAACGTCCCAGTTGTTCTGGGATCCAGTGCCACTGCCACCAGCAAGGTAATCAGACCACTTTTTAAACAAACAAACAAACCAACCAGCCCCCCAACTCCCCACCCTTCTCCTTTAGCTTGTGTTAGGAGGGACTAAGTTGCTGTGGTCATCTGCTACCCCCTTGTGGTCATTGGAGGAAGTGAATTTCAGAGCGTGTACTTGAGAAACAGCCTCTGCTAGATGGGGGCTTAGAATTGTGTGTTTGTTCTGTACCTTTCTCGCAGGTCTGTCATGTTACCATGGTCTTCCGTAATTACAGGACTGCATTAAAGGTTCAGCTGGTGTCCTTGGGCCCCGTGGGATGGTGAGGGCCTGCCTCCATAACAGAGCTGTGCAAACCTTCCGTATGTAAGCGCCCCAAACCTGCCGAGTTTTGCGACAAACTCAGGACTGGTTCCCAAACCTTCAGGCAAGCCTGGCTTCACTTCAGGGTTTTAAGTGACGGATGGGAAAAGTGAATCTGATTGCAACTGAGTTTTGTTTTGAGATCTCTAGATCTCTCAGCTCGGGCCCTGACTTGGGGTGTGAATGTGGGCTAGTTAATCTGAAAAGGAGTACTTGTGGCACCTTAGAGACTAACCAATTTATTTCACGAAAGCTCATGCTCAAATAAATTGGTTAGTCTCTAAGGTGCCACAAGTACTCCTTTTCTTTTTGCGAATACAGACTAACACGTCTGTTCCTCTGAAACCTGTAGTTAATCTGAGACACTCCTTCTGTGAAGCTCTTTGAGATCCCCAGAGGAGAGATGGGCTCAGGGCAAAGTATGATTCACTCCAGTGTCCCAGCTAACATCCCTTCTTGATCAAAACTGGCTTTCATCTCCAGCACTGTGTGTGACTGCTGCGATTGTCTAGCTGCTTCGACAACAGTTTCTGCTTGTTGCTCTGGGATAGCATAGCTTCAGTATGAAAATCCCAACAACCACATTCTCCCGTCTTGCTTCTGGAAGTGTTAACTCGTGCATGTGGGTAGCATGGGCCTGACAACATGGCACACCACAGGTTCCCTCTTTGATCTGATGGAAGGGCACAGCACCAACATTAGCCATGCAAGCATCTTTCCCTGGCCGTGCAGGCTTCTCTGCCTTGCTGCATGATCTAAGGCATGAGCACCAGGGGCTGTGGCCATGGTGAATACTGGGGTGTGGGAAGCGGCGGGTTTTGTGATGGACAAATCCGCTTTCTAGGAATAAAGCCATTCACTTGGGTCATGTTCCCTGCACACATCTGATGGAAACGACCTAAACTCTGCTCCCCAGTTTGGGATTAGAACCCATAGGGTTCTCGACCTTTTTCTTTCTGAGGCCACCCGCGCCCCCGCCCCAACATGTGATTAAATACTCCACGGCCCACCTGTGCCGCAGCTGGTTTTCTGCATATAAAAAGCCAGGGCTGGCATTAAGGGGCAGCAAGCAGGGCAGTAGCCCGTGGCTCCATGCCACAGGGCGTCTGATGAAGCTAAGTTGCTCAGGCTTCTGCTTCAGCCCATGGCAAGGCTCAGGGCCCTGGGCTTCAGCCTTGGGTGGCAGGGCTTTGGCTTTCTATCCTGGGCCCCAGCAAGTCTAACTCTGTCCCTGCTTGGCGGACCCCCTGGAACCTGCTCACGGTTCCCCTGGGACCCCGAACATCTGGTTGAGAACCACTGGCCTAAAGGCTCCATACCCCATCTCCAATCCACCGAGGCCCTGCGCCATTCTACCCCTTCTTGCATTAGTGTGTCAGGAGTCGGTAGCTTTATGCAGGAAGGGTCGCCTTTTGCACAGACTAGACCAGCAGCCTAGGAATTGTGCTCCTCTGCGTCTGTGGGCTTCATAGCTTTCTGGCCTCTCCAGCTCCCTTTGCTCTGCGCTTGCAAGGAGGCCGTTATCCGCCCCCTCTGTGGTGTTCTCTGTTTGGTCGGTGACCAGCTGTTTTCAGTAGCCGGGTTGAGCAGAGTGAAGCGTTAGAGAGGGTTGTATCTTTGGAAGTGCAATAGCTGTCACTAGCCAGCTGGGGAACAAGATGGTCGGGGCAGAGCTCAAGACACAGCTGGGAAGCTCTCCTGGCTCCCAGCCCCTTGATCAGTCTGCTAGGCCGCGCTACCTTTCCGGGGTCTCCTGTCTGACAGGAAAACAAGCTGTTTGATCCTGCCTGTGCACCATTTTCCCCCCTCTGTTGGCCATACAGAGCAAACCAAGAGCTTCTCTCCCCTGTTCGCGTGCCTTTGGTCCCGCCATAGAACTCCTGGCCACGGAGACACTCGCAGTGGCTATCTGTGTGATACCACCTCCTTGTTCAGTCCCTCGTGCCCACTTCCCTCACTTTCCTTCCCTTCTTTCAGGGCATTGGCTTTTCTTGGCCACTGGTGCTTTATAGTTCTCCTGGGTGCTTTACCTCTACCGACCCGGGGTTGGTTTCTCCCTCCCTTTCAGCAGATCTTCTCCTGTTTGTATTCCCTTCCAGCCCCATCCTGCTTTCCTGTTGCTGCTGCGGCCCACGGCCACTGCTGCTACTTCTTTGGCACTCATTAAAGGCGAACTCTGCAGATGCTTCCGCCTTCTGTTTGTCCCACTCTGCTCTGCCTCCCCCACATCCTCCGTCCTGACCTCCCTTTGGGTCTCCTGCTGCCGGGGTGAGGTGTGTTTTGGTCTCAGGAAGGTGTCTGCTACCCAGCTGAGCTTGAGAGCCTGGGGGCCTCTGTTCTGTTTTGCAGCTCCGACCTCTCACCTGGGCACCACCTCAGCTGCTTCTCCACCCTCATTGCAGGGGCTCCTGCCAGTGCCGCAACATTGAAGAGTTGGTGTCGGGCACCCGCTCAGAGGGGCAACCCTCCTGTTTCCTCCTGGGTCTTCTCCAGTTGAGGGAAGCTGGGAGGTGTTTTTTTTCTTTCCGTTTTTTTTCCCCTTCTGTGCTTCAGCTTCTTGGTGGATGATTTAGACTCTGGGCCGTCTGCCTGCATTCTGGGTCCAGCTTTAACGGGCAGAGCACCCTGCGTGGACCCTGATACGTTCGGTCTCCTTGTGGCTACCACAACAAAGAAAGGATGAGTCTTAATTGTCGAGGTTAATGCTTACCCAGCAGCCGAGCGGGGGAGACAATCGCTCGGGTGTTGTAGGACAGGAGGGGAGGTCAGGGCATGCTCCATAGCAAATGCTGTTGGAGGCGGGCAGCTAGATAGGTGGTCAGGCTGGGGGAAGGCTGTGGTGCTCGGGTGCCTCACTGAGGACTGCGTCTTTCCAACTCACCTTCCCTTCATTCTTGAGTCTCCATCTTCCCTGCCACGTCTGCAGGGCGTGGCTCCCCAGGAATGGGCACTTCGTGGCAGTAGCAAGGAGGTGAGGGGGGAAAATAAACCAGTTACACGGCAGGGCTTAATTACAGTCACCATCTTTGTATGTCAGCTGCTCAGTTCTTCATGGTGCTGGTAGGGCTTTCCGTTCCTTAAGGACTGATTTCCCTTTGTGGATGACCTACCTCCCCCACCCACGATCTCCTAGACTGCTTATTTCTGCCCTCCTGTGGGTTGACATCCCCTCCTCTGCTGATTGTTTCAGCTGCCCAGCTGGTAATGGGTGAATGAACAGACACCAAAGAAGCCCTCCACCCCCCACAAAGGGAGAGAGAAAATGCTTCTTGGAGTAACAGGAAGGAAGGATTCTCTCTAGTTTAGTTGGTCAAAGTCCCTGGAAACCATGAGGCGTGGATGGGTCTAGAACCAGGAGGAAGAGTGGCTTGTGGTAGATTGTAAGCACCTTGGGACAGGACAGTAAGAACATAAGAACGGCCATAATGGGTCAGACCAAAGGTCCATCCAGCCCAGTATCCTGACTTCCGGCAGTGACCAATGCCAGGTGCCCCAGAGGGAATGAACAGAACAGGACTGGCAGTTTGTTCTGTTTGTGCAGCGCCTAGCACAGAAAGGTCCTGGCCCATGGCTGGCATTCCTAGGTGCTACAGAGACACAAATAATAAGAGGTGGGGGCAGCAGCTTGGCACACCCCAGCTTGAGAACGACTAGCGTAGACTGGAGTTTGATAACAGTGTGCCGTGCTGAAGCCTTTAGGGCACTTGTTGTCCTTACCTGCCTTCCCCATGTGTAAGCCCCTTCGTTTTCAGTTTAAAGCGATTTTTATCCGGGCTTTACAGAAAGTATTCTTTTTTCTTTCTGATTTTCACCCTACTTTTGTATCTTTTAAATATAAAAAATAACTGGTTTTATTAGGAACATACAATACATTGCATGAGATATCTGTATTACGATAATACATTAGTCTGTGTGTATACGCAAAGCTGCCTGTTGAAATGAGGCTCTGTATTAGTCTGGAAGATACACACAATAAACAGGCCCGCACGCAAGCTCTGAAGTGCGTGCGCATCTGAATGTACTGATGAATCTCACACCCGCCATGTACACATTTCAAGCTGTTAGCAGATAACGGTTTAAAGATTTGACACACTAAAATGGGAAGAAAATGAAAATCTGTCTCAGAATACATTTCAGAACACAAGGAAGTATTCAAAAGTTAAAAAAAACAAAAATGGGAAAAGAATGAAGTTGAGTGTATGCGCTGCAAATTGTGTGGCCCAATTATTAAATGTAAATATTTATAGGCTAATAGTACACGTCTGGTCTACACTACAAACTTAGGTCGACATAAGCCACATTAAGTGGATCTAATAATGTACGTGTCTACACTACCGAGTCCCTTCCGCCCACCTAAGTGGCCTGTAAAGTCGACTTCTGTACTCCACCTCCATGAGAGGCGTAGTGCTTGATTTGACATCCACACGTTGACATGGGGATAGTGTAGACAAGGCATTGTGTAATTCAAATTAATTGGCATCCAGGAGGTGTCCCACAGTGCTCCGCTGTGACCACTGTGGAGAGCACTTTCAACTCCACTGCACGTTACACAGGAAACAGTCACTCCCCTGTTAAAGCCCCGGGAACTTTTGAATGTTCATTTCCTGTTTGATCAGTGTGGAGAGCTCGCCAGCCCAGCTGATCATGGAGACTCAAGGCCC